AATAAAATACTAAAATTATATCTTTAAAGTTACGTGTTACTTTAAAAGAAACACAATTGCTATATAAGATAAAATTTCTCTGTATCACCGCCACCGCCCCGCCTCACTCCCTGCCACGAGTTTCCCACAGGATTTGCAAGGCAACAAAAGTTCATATTAGACCCAGTAAAATTGGATTCAATCCGAAAATTGGATCCAATTCAAAAAGTGGATTCAATTCATCCGTTATGTGTAAAGTTATGGATTTTATGTGTTAATCCGAAATTCGAATAACCTAAATTGAAATTACCCAAACCCAAATAAGTTGGGTCACATGTGAATCGGGTCTCCCAATATGATTCGAACCTTTTTTTATTCTTTTTTATTAGATTACTTAAAAATTAATGTTAAATTTTTAATTTCCTAATTCTAAAAGTAGAAATAAATAAAAGACTCAAATCCTAACCTTTAATCAATTTCACTTTCTCTCAACTTTTCCTCTTCTTTGCTCTCGCTCTCCCCTTCTTCATCTCAAATTCTCTAATCATTTTCTTTGGTGGCACATGCGTCAAAAATTAGATTATGTGGCACATTGTGAGTTATATTATATGACATCGCAAAAAAGGTCATTTTTTTAAAAATAAAAAGCAAGAATGCCTATTGAAAATTAAACTCAGTGGTTAAAGTACTCTCATAACCATTAAAAGTACAAAGACAAGAATATCAAGAACATCAAGGTCCGTTCTTAATTACTAATTTGTTCTTAATTAATAATTTGTTCCTAATTAACAAAAATAAATTCCAATCCAATTTCTTTTTGTATTTAGTTAGACATATTTTAGATTCGCCTTTTAAACTTTAATATTGAATAGGGTTATATTTTTTGTATAATGCCCTCTTAAATATTGAATAGAACTATATTTTTCGTATAATATTATTATAAATATTGAATATGCACTAGATATTAGATATTAATATATATATATATTGGATTTATCTTTTAAACTCTAATTATTTATGTCTTTTCTTTTAATGAAGGTTAATATCTTTATAAAATTATGAATTCTAAATATTGTATAAGTATTGAACCATGATACATCCACCCAATGAACCGGCACCCATCTCAACACTCATGTTGTTTTAAATAATAAAATTACAAATTTACCCTCCTCATTTTACACATAGGTGTTGAGATGGGTGTTGGTTTCATTGGGTGGATGTCTCATTTCCCATAAGTATTATATATTTGACATATATTTTAGTTCTAACTATATAATCACTAATCTTTTCCCCTTTTTTTTTCTTGAAATTGGGAAAAAATTGAATTATGGAATGAAAATTAATGTTTAATAAAGTTTTCTAACTAAATATAGTTAATTAGTAATAAAGTTTTTTAATTAAATAGTTAATTAGTATTAGATTTTGTTAAAGAAAAATAGAGAAAAATATAGAAAAATTTTAATTTTAATTTTAATT